ATTTCGGGTATTTCGGTTCCAAGACCCGGATTCAAATCATTCTAAAAAATTACAGACCCGGACTCGAATTATTGGCCGATTCCGGGCAGATCCGGGTATTACGGTTCTGGTTTGCGGAACACTAATAATAACAATGTATATTATTTTAGTAGGCTTCATAATATTCACTGAACAGGAAATTTAAAAATTTCCGCATTTCTGCCACCGTCACGTGCATAACTAATTATGCAACTCGTCACGTGTATAACTAATTATGCTTAACTTTTTATTACTGTATAATCTTATTTTTACATTGTTTATAAGAAAACTTTCTTGTTTTCTTGCAGATTCTTTGCATATATTACAAGTTTATTTAGTAATTAATACGACATTACTGGGTCACTAAATTTTTGCAACAAAAATGTTAAACAGAAAGCCATCCTTTTTTATAACGTGTCGATCATAAAAATCATATAATTACCGTTCGTGTGCATAAATAAATTTTATAAATTTTCGATTTGATTTACCGCAAAAAAAAAAAAAATTAATAAGAAACGTTAGAAACTAAAAAAAAAAAAAAAATGAGTAAACGCCCCAATAAAATTCGAAACAACGAAATCAATCAAACTGACCGTACTCCCAAAGATGATAATGGCTATGCTGAATCGACTGCCCTTCCTTCTAAACCGTCTAATTCTAAACGGCAGAAGCATAGTTGTACTCCGGAAGAAATAGAAGAAATCATTAACGATACTTACTTTTTGAAACTTGATGAAAAAAGACCCTTTTTTACAAGAAAGCGCGTCGTATTCACTGCTGGTATCATACTTGGTATCTTTATTACTTCAGTGCTAGCTCCAGGGGCGCCCGATTTTTTATCTGAGTCCTTTTCGGACTTGGATTTTACTAGCATTTTACCTGCTCATATTCTAGTGGAAGAATTATTTGGCAATATAACTCTTTTTTTAAAGCCGAATATAAGTATATTAGAAGATACTGAATTTCTGCCTGGATTAAGTTTGTCTCAAGAAGGTGTAAAAGCTAATTTTCCTGTAGTTTTAATTCCTGGAATTGTTTCAACCGTAAGTATTAAGTTTGTTATTATGTATAAAATCGTTTAACTTATATAGTTTTTTTTACAAAAACTATAGTTTGTTTTATAATACTTCTACAAAGGGTTTAGAAAGTTGGAGCACTTCTAATTGTTCACGACCATATTTTAGAAAGAGAATGTGGGGGACTACCAGTAAGCTTACAACAAAATTCAATGTCATTAATAAAGTGACTTTATCATCAATGTGCATGCTTCCTTTCTCTTTTTAAATTTAAGCAATGTTTCGAGCTGTTCTTTTGGACAAAGAATGTT